TATGACAAAATAATAATAATGTATAAATTATCAAGGGTCCATGAGGGAGGGGGAAGCGGGGAAGGAGGGGGAAAATGAGGAGTTGATACCAAGGGCTCAAGTAAAAAGCAAATGTTTTGAGAATGAAGATGGCAACAAATGTACAAATGTGCTTGACACAATGGATGGATGGATGGTGATGAGTTGTACGAGCCCCTAATAAAATGATTAAAAAAAAAAAGAAAACCTGGTGGTTATCAGAATATTGTCTGAATCACGAGGCAGTTGTGTGAACAGAACAAAGGAACACTGCATAGTTTACAGTGAGAAAAGGGGTTGTATCCTCTCATCAAACTTGTTCCATCTGCACGCTGAGCAAATCATCAGAGAAGCTGGCTCATATAAAGAGGAATGTGGCATCAGGATTGGAGGACGGCTTACTAACAACCCGCGGTATGCAGATGACACAACATTGCTTGCTGAAAGTGAGGAGAAACTGAAACACTTGCTGATAAACATCAAGGATTTTAGCCTCCAGCATGGATTACAACTCACTGTAAGGAAGACCCAAATCCTCACACCTGGACCCATAGGTAACATCATGATAAATGGAGAAAAGGCTGAAGCTGTTGAGCAGTTTGTCTTGCTTGGATCCCCAATCAAGGCTCACGGAAGCAGCAGTCAAGAGCTCAAAAGATGTGTTACTTTAGATGCATCTGCGGCCCAAGACCTCTTTAGAACATTGAAGAGCAGTGATGTGATTTTGAGGACTAGGGTGTGCCTGACCCAAGCTGTGGTACTCTCCATGGCATCCCATGTGTGTGAGAGTTGGACACTGAATAAGGAAGCCCCGAGAAGAATGGATGCATTTGAATTGTGGTGCTGGAGACGAACAGTGACAGTGCCAAGGGCTGCTAAGAGAACACATGGATTTGTGTTTGGAAAAAATACAGCCAAGGCATCATCTTACATACTCTAGAAATATTGTTAGAGAGACCAGTCCCTGGAGAAGGACATCATGTTTGGCAAAGTGGAGGGGTGATGAAAAAGAGGAAGGCCCTCACGGAGATGGACAGACACAGTGACTGCATCAAGGGGATGGATTGGCACAGTGACTGCATCAAGGGGATGGATTGGCACAGTGACTGCATCAAGGGGATGGACAGACACAGTGACTGCATCAAGGGGATGGACAGACACAGTGACTGCATCAAGGGGCTCAGGCACAGGAACAGCAGTGACGATGGTGCAGGACCGTGCAGTGTTTCACTGTGTTGTGCAGAAGGTCACTACGAGTCAGAGCCACCTCGATGGCACTTAACAACAACAGAGCGCTGGAGAGTGAGCTGCCTGGGGTCGAAGGCTCTCAAACGACACAACAGTGCACTCAGGCAGATCACAGAGATGCTGCAGGATGCACAGGGCAACATCTTGCTCTGTTAGTTATAAATTCACCATGGGTTTGAGCTGCCTGGAGGGCAACTTGAGATCACAGTTTCTTTACCATTCCAGAGTGAAGCTTCTCTATGTATCTCCTAGGAGGAGATGTAGCACTTGACTATAGAATCTTTTTTTTTTCCCCCATGGATGTTAGAGTTAGGTGAAATAAATTTCACGAAATTATAGTCTATGCTGTAGATACTTAGATTAGACATTTGAGACAACTTCCCAATTGTCGTTGGAACCTGGAACTGGTGATAGAGGAAGACTGAACTTTTTGTTCTTGGAAGATGGGTAGACCCTTCCTCCTTTCCATTCTTTTCCCCTTCCATCATTCCTCACTCCCTTTGTTACTAGTATTCGGCACTACTTGCCTGGGACTGTCGGGGTGCAGGCCCGTGACACAAGAAATCTGGGAGCCTCGGTCTTTCTCATCCCCATGTTTCTATTTTTGTGGATCCCAATCGTGGCAGCATTCCACGGGAGAAGCAGCCTCGCTGGGACAGGAGGGAACTGGGAGTTTTAGCTGAGAGGAGAGGGTACTAGAGATAGGAAAAGTTGATGCAATAATTTTTGGCAGGAGTTGGAATCCAAACAGCAGGAGCGAGTAAGTTTTAAGACTCTCTGGCAAAGTAACTTCCTAATCTGTCACTGGGTATGTGTAAAAAAGTGATTAGTGGTTCTCTATATTTATCGTGATTACTCACAAATATGCAATTTACATAATGTCTACAGCACATTAAGTACTATGTCACCTTATATAATGTGCATATGTATAATGTATATGCATGTTATGTAACACCAGTCTGGAGGCTCTTCCAGGTTCTGCCAAGTCTTTCCTAATTTGTTTGGCAATTTTAATGTATCTTTTCCATCTGTGGAAAGATCTCTCTTGAGAAAAGCTGGTCTCTGACCTGAAGTATAATCACACTGCTAGCTGGACTCTCAACTCACTGGGGTCACTCACCCACGACCAAAGCACAATAAGATGCAACTCCTAACCCATTAGTCCAGGGATAACGATGCATTGAAGACTTCCTGTTTCATTCTTTTTATTGCTAACGGGCAGGGCTTCTTTCTTTTTTTTTTTAGTGCTAGTGGGTAGGAGTGTGGGGGCAGGTGAGAACATGTCTGGGGCACATTCCAAGTCAGAATAAGACGAAGGTGGCGGGACTGGGTTCTCCCTTGACTGTCGTAACTCTGTGACTTTGAGAAGTCACTAACCCTCAGTCAGCCTCATTCCTCGCATTATGACAATAATCATAGCAATGCCTTCTCTGCCTACCTTAGGGGACGCTGGGAGCAGCAATAAGACACAATAAGAAGCCACAGACAGTCTTTCAGGAATGATTGCAAGGTACGAGGAAGTAATCACATTAGACTTGCTAAGATGCTCAACCAGGAAGCGCAATTCCACTGGCGTGTGTTCTGTTCGCGGCGTCGAAGGAGCACTTGGGCCATGTCTCTCAAGCAGCCCTGCAAACTGTGAGCTCTAGGCTTGAGTGGGCAAGAGGTGGGCTCCACGGCAGCTCCTTCACGAGATTTGTGAATCTCTGAGAATAAGTTTCACTTGTTAGTAGTGTCATGCCGCAGCAGCCCCAATATCAGGAGAGCAAAGCTGAAGCACATGCACACACTTCTGTAAATGCCATCTGATCAATGACCCCAAACCTGACCTGTCTCTGTTTCAGAACCATGTGGCTTCCAGGAAGGTACCAGCTGTCGTGCGAGCTTGGTGGTTCCATCCAGTGGCCTGGCTTCCCCCCTGCCCAGTGTTCTGCACTGAAGGCCCATCCAGCTGGTCCAAGATCCTAGAAGGAGGAGGTCAACATCCTTCTATGTTGGTCTCAATCTGTGCACACAATCTCAGTGTTCCCTTCCGTGTTCAAAGCGCCTGACTCCATGTCAAGAGACTAGAACCGGCTCAGCGGAGCGACCTCACTTTGGCCCAGACATTTCTAAGGAGGCCCAAGTGGGCAAAGCAGCTAAGGCAAATGTCTGTCTGTCTGTTTGTTTTCCTACCCGAGAAAATCTGGGCAGAATTGCCATTTGGGAAAGGAGGGTCATTCAGTACCAGCCGGGGCCCGTTGCACACAGCCGAACCGCCTCTGTCCTGGCTGGCAGCACCCTTCATGGATGTCTCCGGCTTCCTTGTGACCCTCCCTTGGGGGCAGCCCTGCATGCAGGGATGCTCCAGACCCAGAGATGATGACGATGGTGAGGAGGGTGCCAGCGTGATGCGTTGTCTCTGCCGTCGACCCCAGCCCAATTCCTTGCCAGTTCCTGTAAGAGAACCTCTAGGAAGCACGGAGAGGTCCGTGCGTTTGTCCAGGGGACTGTCCTGCCCACACATGTGCTGCTTGCTGCTTCTTCCCTGGCAACCTGGATCCAGATGGCATCACTGCTTCATGACCGGGCGTGGCACCGGTCCGAAGAAGTCTGGGTTCCTTTCTTTATGAAGTATCTTCTTCGTGGCACCAACCCCCAAGGCAGATCAGCCAGGACACCATGCACAAGTCTCTGTTCTGGGGCTCAGCTTCCTTATCTGACACGTTTGCAAGCACATGCCCACCGTGGTCTTTCCAGAGCTGTTTCAAGGCTCCCGAAAAAGGATTGCTCAGTCTCTTCTTGATAAGGAGCGAATCTCACTCCCTTTAAACCTTAAGATGGCTACAGAGAAGTGTGTTGGCAACAAAATAATGGAACGGGAAAGTAAGAACTTCCTTCATTTCCTCCCACTTTCTGTTCTGATATAAACATAAATATATATATTTTTTTCAATCAGGATAAGTCCATCTGTAAATAAATATTTATATATGTATATATATAAATATATATGCTACATATACACACACACATAAGACTGTCAGAAGGGCTTCAGGTTCTAGAAGCAGAAGGAAATCACTCAATAGTTTCTCTCCAACCACAGGACCTCCTATCCCATCTTCTCTGCCTTCAGGGATAGTCAGCCATCAAGGCTTGGAACTCAAACGGGAAACATGCTTTGGTTTGAAAAAGAAAGAAGCTGGGGTGTGTGTGTGTGTGTGTGTGTGTTTTCCTTCCCCCTTTAAAAAAAAACCATAATATTATGACACCAATTTGAAAAATAAATCCCAGTTTCTCTACTTCCCCCCCCACCCAGATGTTCACAGAACTAAGGCCATAAATCCCACATCTGAGGAGCGCTGCACAGGCAGCTATGGAGGCTCTTGGCGCTGTCTTTCAACAAACACACCACCACCGGGGGAACACTTCAGGAAAATAACAAGTGTCCACAGCCAGCCACGGAACCAAGCATGGACACAGCTGCCTACAGTCTTTCTGCCTCTTCAGCAAGTGGAAGGAGAAGTTGTCGTCCACGGAACAACCAAGAACCCAACGTGCGCTTGCTGGGCCCGGCCCAGGATTATGTTCTGCACGATGACGAGGCCCTTGTGTCTCTGTACAGAGGGACCTTTATGTAAGTTCTGTGGGACGGGAGTGTCTTCCCTGGGGCCGCATCCGATTTCGCCATAGGCAGGAAATCTACAGCCTGCCCCTGTGAGCATCCGTGAGGAAACTTGCAGGGCTGGTGGAAAGAAAGGGAGATTTTTCGCCGCAGTCTTAGAAAGTCTTCCTCAAGGCCTTCTGGGAATGTGGAAGTTGATGCACGAACCAAGCAGACCCCGATGGGCCCCAAGTTCATTCAACATGTTCTTTTGGCACTTGGCTCTGTCACGAGTGAGTCCATTATCAAAAGAGAGAGAATGTATGGCAGGGTGAACGTTTTCTTCCTGAAGGGTGGTTTTGCCCCACGGGTTAGAGAAGAGTGGTGAGTGTGTGTGTGCACACGCGCGTGTCTGTGTATGCGTGTGTGTCAACGTGTGTGTGTGTGTGTGTGAGAGAGTATGCGGTTACAGTTTCTTGCTTTTCTTGTGGGTTCTTTGGCCTGTGGTACATGGTTTAGTCTTTTGAACGGCTCTTTCTCCTCAGTGAAAAGAAGCTGCTCTTCTGGGGAGGCCCCATCATCATGGGCGCTTGGTTCTTGTGAGTGATTTTAATCTAAAAGCAAAGAGGCAGAAGTGAATTAGTGGCATGCCAATCCCAGGAGCCTAAGGGAGAGCGAGTTGCAGAGAGAGGGGACGGGAACCCTGCTTTGGGTGGGAGTGGGCCCCATGCAAGAGGATGGCTGTCCTTGAACCGATTCCAAATTGGCCACGGGACCTGCCTGGGGCTGGAGTTTGGCGCTGCTGGCAGCGAGGGGCGGAAACACCGAAGAGAGACAGGTGTGAGCGTCCCACATGGTGATCAGCTCGCACCTGTCTTATATCCTTGCTATTCATAGCCGCTCAGAATGTTACAGCTGAGGGGACCTCAGAGAACTTCCCGTTCAACCCTTTTGTATGAGAGATGAGGGAACGATGACCCGAGGCTCTGCGGGGTGTCCGTTGGCCTAAGGTCACATACAGACCCAAACCCAGTTCTTCAGAGTCCCAGCCGCCACTGCTCCTAGCCATTCCTGCCCAGCACCGCGGGAGATGTCAACCGCTAACTTGACGTTGAACCTGGAAGTTTCAGGTTCCTCTCTGACCCAAACACCACCCTGGGGGGCACATTTTCAAGGAGTCCCTAATAGGTTCCTTCTTTTCTTAGCCTTGTAGAGAACACCCAGCTTTCTTTCAAAAGCATATTTCTACAAAAGAATTTTAGGTTTTATGATTATTTTTATTCTGTGAGATTTAAGTCAATTGGAAATGAAAGGCATTGGTGGAATCTCAATTTTGTTTTTCTTCCCAACTTTATATGCCCAACTTTCAGGGCGTGGCTTGCTTCAAACTGTTTATCCCTAGTTCAGTGTGTCCTGCGGACACTGCCACCGGGATGATCTACATTACCAGCCCGCCAACTGTGTGGTCAAGCAGGACATATGTTCAGAGTAGAAAAATGATGTGGGATCAGGAGGCACTTAGGATTTAAAGATCAGGGTCTAGGACCTAGCACTCCTACTTCTTTGCTGTGACATTTTTGAACAGCTTAATTGACGGATAATGCACAGACCACAGAATTCAGTGGTTTGAAGATATTAAAAAGGGCTGTGCAGTCATTACCACATCAATTCTAGAAACTTCTCTTCATTTTCATACTTGTTATTAGTTCCCCATTTCCCCCGACTTCTACTGCCATAAGCCTAAGAAACTATTATTGTAGTGACTACCTCTATAGGTTTACCTATCCTGGACATCCTATTTTAAAAACCAGACGAACCAACAAACAACAAATTGAAAGGGAAAAAGACCCTCAACAACAATAACAAAACACAGAGCAACCTCGTTCCAAAAGAAAGCAGAACATAAAAAAAACTGTACCACATTAAAAATGAGTCAAAAGGGAAAACAATGATAAGATGTTGAAATTTAACCTGTTTCGGCCTCGATTCATTTTCAGATGCACTTTACCCGAGGGCAAGGCTATTATTCACTGCCCTGGTCAATGGTCCGGAGGAGGGAATTCCATGGGGGCCTATTCCCGTGGGACTCTGCATACGGATTTTGAGCTTTCATTGCCATTATAGTCTTCTGCAAACCACGTGCTAGGAATTTAAGTTCCAATACAATTTTCTCCTCTTATCTTGAATTTTATTATTTACAATCCTTGGATCACATAGATGGTACACTTTTTCAGGGTGGGCTGGGCTGGCACCTTCCTTCGATGGTTGTTTGTTTTAAGACTCCGGACGCTGCCCTTTCTGATAGATGGGCACGTCACTACCCTTTGCTATAGCAACCATAGCTTCAGTGACACCTTGCTGGGGTAACCATGAGCAGGGCCACATTATAAGAATTACTGTTCTTAGGTTAAGGCTTATGGTTAAGTGATCTAAATTTCATATCTATGAGGGGGGTTTAAAAAAACCCAGAATTTTCCCCCAAAGAGATGCATTCAATTTTTTTTTTTTTTTAACAAAACAACCTTATCACCTTCAAAGTACTACCCGCTACACTCCATACATTTGTCAAATCTGCCATTCCATTCTTGGAAACATTTTTCAAACTCATCTGTTTGGATGGCTGACATCCCTCGTTTTTTCCTTCACCTCTTCTAAGTCGTCAAATAACTGTCCTCTCATTCCCCTCTTCATTTGTGGAAACAAAAAGAAGTCACATGGAACAAGGTCAGGTGAGTAACATGTGTGGGGCAAGGGAGGCATGCTGTTTTTTGCCAAAAACTGACACACCGAGATGGCTGTGTGTGCAGGTGCATTGTCGTGGTGGCAAAACAAGTCCTCCATCTCCCACAAATCAGGCCCTTTTGGTCACACACTGTTAATGCAATCTTTTCAGAACCTCTAAAGAGAAAGCTTGATAACAGTCTGACCTAGTGGAACGAACTCCAAATGCACTGCCCCTCACATCAAAAGACAAATGAGCATCATCTTGATCTTTGATTTCACTTTGGGTAAGGCGAAAATGGCGTCTTCTACTGGCTTGATTGAGGTTTGCTTTCAGGGTCGTGAGAACAGCACCATGTCTGGTCACCAATAATGACCTTGGGAAAAAAGGCTGGGTCGCTTTGGAGCTGCTCTTTCAAAGCTCAGCATGTTTCCATTTGATGATCTTTTTTTCTGGTCAGTCAAAACCCGAGGCTCAAATTTCCCAGCTACCCTTCTCATTCCCAAATCTTCTGTTAAAATTCACGAAACGGAGCTCCTAGATAGTCCAGATAACTACCCCATCTCTTCAATAGTCCATTGTCAATCTTCAAGCTCAAGGGCAAGGATTTTGTCAACATCTTCGTCCATTTGGGAAGTTGATCAACATCCAGAATGAAGTTTGTCATCAATTGACATTTCACCTTTTTTGAAATGAGAAAACCACTCGTACAGCGTGTCGTCCCACCCTCCTCCCCACCCAACGCTGTCCTAGTAAGCTGTGTTCAACATCACAATAGTTTCTGCGGCATTTTTCCTGAGCAGGAAACAAAATTTCACAGCTGCACGCTGTTCTCTTAAATCAGCCATCACATAAAAAGAGTAAAACTGCTTTTACAAAAAAATTCACTGTGACCAGAGAACTTTCCCAGGCCACGCCACTGGGTACGCTGACTCAGAGAGGGCTGCTGGATGCTCAGCCTCAGGGAAAAATGCGAATGAGGAAAGCTCCTCCCAGAAGAGCTTTTTTTCCAGTTTCTGGGGGGTACCCCCTCATATATCCTTGTTCCACTCAGTGGCAGCATTGTCTGATTTTTGAGAGAGAATATAAGTGACCTCCATGGGGCCTTTGGTAGTTCTAATTCATTAAATCCCATGATATGTAAGCAAGGTCGAAATGGATAAGGTCTTAGGAAATGGGGGGAAAAAAGAATGCCACCAAAAGACAGTGTAGAGAATTCGCATTGTCGAGTGATAAAAATGGCGCCCTGGTCATGTACTGGGTGAGCTGTCACCCAGGAGGTCAGTGTTGAAAACCACCAGCTCCTCTGTGGGAGTTGGCTTTCTACTCAGAAGCACAACCCTCCCCTGGTAGTCGTCCTTTGTCCGGCGGGGTTGCTACCCTGTATCCCCGAAAATAAGACAGTGTCTTAAATTAGTTTTTGCTCTCAAAGATGCACTAGGTCTTGTTTTCAGGGGATGTCTTATTTTTCCATGAAGAAGAATATAGTACACATTTATTGTTTTAGTGTAAGAGACCTCGCACTTCCTGTCTGCTCCAGCTGCTGTGGCCAACAGTGAGCTGTGCTGCCGTGCCTGCCACTACGGTCCATAGTCCAGAGTTATGGTAGCTTCGGGGGCCTTATTTTGGGGGAGGTCTTATTTTCAGGGGGATGCCTTATATTTCAGTGAGAGGCAAAACTGTAAGTAGGTCTTATTTTCCAGGGATGTCTTACTTTCGGGGAAATGGTATGCGTTGGCATTCATTCCACGGCAGTTGAGTTTTTTCATGATAAAAATTGAGAAAGAAAGTTCAGGTGAGATGGTTAAAAAAAAATCAGCTCATGAAAACTCTTATGGCTCACGATAGTCTGAAAGAGAATTAATCACAGGTGTGACACAGGACCCAGCTCCGTCTCATTCCACTGTGCATGGGGTTACCGTTCGTTGAGGGCCAACCTGACAAAAGTTAACAACAATAGTGATAAAAGAAATAAAAACAATCCCAGAAACAAGCAAACGACCATTGCTGTCAGGTGGATTCTGATTCATTGTGACCCCATGAGTAGAACTTTGGGGAGTCACAACACTGTGGTTCCCCTGGGTGCGTTCAAACTAGAAAGCAACCTGTGGCTTAACAGTAAGCACAAACTGTGCCCCCTGGGGCATGGTGACGGGAGCTGACCAGGACGCTGATGTTGGTCTCCAGCAGCCAGAATACGGGCAAGGGGAACAACTCTCGCAAAGCTTTCTGTTTTGAGGTGCAGACCCCAAATGTACAGCGCACCATGGTGTGTCCTGTGCCTCCTTGTGGGCATTCTGCTTGCTCCAGAATTCAGGGAAGTGAGGCACAGACTGCAGGCCTGTCTGTGGACTGCAGTTGAGCTCTATGTGACGGTGATTCGAGGTGTGCGCCCCTCCCCAACGAGTCCCTAGTACACAAGAACTCTTGAGTGGAAGGACTTCATCTTACCCATCTTGGCTGTGGCAGTTACATAATATCTCTGTAACCTGAAGATGTATAAAAGTGTAGGTAGTCCACCTGTCAATCAGGTCGCAGCCTCCTTGTGGGCGTGGCCTTCTCATAAGGAGGGCCCAGGGACTTCACCCTTTCTCTCTGCTGTCACCTTCCTGCTTGCTGACCCAGGAGAGCTGCTGGAGCCTTGCCTGGTTTCCCACTGGCCTCGAATCCACAAGACTTTGCACACACTGGCCTGTGCTCTTCCTGCATTCTGCATCATTGCATGTGGCTGTGTGAGTCTGAAGAGGGACTTGTGGACTAGTATCGGATTTATGGATTTGAGTTGGACTGTGCTGTTCTCTTGAAATATAATTACTTCTTGATATAAAGCTCTTTCTTACATAGATATGGGTACCACTGGATTTGTTTCTCTTGTCAACCTGGTATTCCCAG